GTTATCACCATTTTGTACCATCATTCTATACCACCAACACCATTCTATACCATTCTTGATTTTTTCTTCATTTTATACCATCATTTATACAACCATGATTCTGTACCATCATTCTATGCCACCATCATTCTATACAACCATTATTCTGAATCGCCGTCATTCTATACCACCATTCTATACCATCATTCTATACCACCTTTCTATGTTCCACCATCATTCTGTATCATCATTTTATATCGTCCTTGTATGCCACCGTCATTCTATACCACCATCATTCTATACCACCATCATTCTATACCACCATTATTCTATACTACCGACAGTTTATTGGACGTTAAACTTAAAGAATTAAGGAAAACAACAAAAAATATATTCTCAACCGGAAGTCAGACAGGAATAATGAGTATATTATGTGGAGAGCTATATCAGACAAAAGTATAATATATGAAAAAACAAAATAGAAATAATAACATTGTGGCGCATCATCTATACCACCATTCTATACCATCAACACCATCCAATACCAACATTCTATACTAACAGTAAATAAGTTTAAATTATATTCCAGTGCCTGGCGATACAAACACCGTTACGTTACAGGTATGTTATTTTTCAAGTTCTGTAATTTTGTATTGGAAACAGCATGAAGGTATGAACAATAACAATAAGGATATCTCAAAAGACTTCCACTTGATTTATTTCTAACGAGTCTTTTTTACCTGGTTAAGGCTTGAAGATCCAAATTAGACTGGGCGTGTATTTCAATTCATATTATCTAACTAGGTTCCATGTAATTTAACTTCTTGGAGCATCTATCTTATTCTGACGGGTACTGGTGAAACTACGTTTAATAATCGTCAATATCTGAGTGTGAACAGCAGAAATATGGAAATCATCATACAAACTGATAAAAAGGTGTATAAACCAGGGCAAACAGGTACTACCTTCCTTATAAATTTAAAAGCTTATCAGAGGAATTATTTACTGTAATAAATATAATTTATACATCCAGCTAAACCAGATTTGGACCACGTGAAAATTCGTTTTGGTTGTTCATGTGTACTGCTTTGTTATCAAGTTTCCTTCACTTTTACTGGCAATAGGGGTATGAATTGTCTGAACCATGAGTGGCATTCCTTTTGTGCTCCGATGAATCAATTCAATTCAAATGATAAGTTTATATGGTCTTTATTGTAGTAAAATATCGGGTATTTGGTGTTCGCTCGGATTTACAAGTGGTATGTTCTAACTATACCGTTACTGTCACAGTAAGTATATATCATGATCTTAGGTTTAAGATGTGATAACTCAATTCTTTGCTTTTGAAAGTACTAGTTTTTGTTTTAGATCTGATCACATTTGCATAAGATGAGGTTGTAAATTTGTATATGACTGATATCAGAGGCTTGTTGTCCCGATCATCTGTAAAATTATATCATGAAACACGTATGAGCGGTATTGTTGTTGATTAATAAATGCTTTTTTACGAAAGAAAAAATATTAATCTGGAATGTAAAAATCTTCCACGAATAATTGCATTCAACCNGATTTTACATTTTT